ACTTCTTCCTGATAGTTTCATCTCTTTGAGATTCAGTTGAGCAATTTTCTCAGCTCTAGCTTTTTGTACACCAGATCTCTGTTTTCCTGTGTTGACTTTACTGTTTGATGCATTTGCTGAATTTTATAATTTTGATGTAGCCATATCTTTTTTATTTGATTACCCATATCTATGTGATATAGCCATATCTATTAGCCATATCTGTTTGATGTAGCCATATCTTTTTTATTTGATTAGCCATATCTATGTGATATAGCCATATCTATTAGCCATATCTGTTTGATGTAGCCATATCTATTTTTTATTCTTAGAAATTTTACTTATTTTCAGTGTATATTCCTTCTTAGATTTTTCTTTCTTGATTTTAATTTTTAAACAGTATATTACTCTGAAGTTTTTTTCCATATCTTCTTTTATATCCTTAACCATTTTAAACATAATTATTTTATGGCTTCATTTAAATTGTTTAATTATCTGAATTTACTGAAGATTTAGTTCTGCAGTTTATTGTGCCTTGGGTGGATAGATTCCTGGTGTACATATAAAGTACTACTCATGATTTACAGTTACTGAGCTCCAAGTTCATCTTCCTTGGCACTTATTTGTGGAACTTCTATGTGGCCTATATTAGGGAGACAGCCAATATAGAGTTGTTTCACATTCACATTCCAAGGTATTAACAACCCAGGACAGAATTTTATGTTGGTTTCCTTTTTTTTTTCTTTGTTTTTGAATGGAGTTTCACTCTGTCGCCCAGCCTGAAGTGCAGTGATGTGATCTTGGCTTACTGCAACCTCCGCCTCCCGGGTTTAAACAATTCTCTCACCTCAACCTCCCGAGTAGCGGGGATTACAGGCATGCACCACCACGCCTAGCTAATTTTTGTATTTTTAAAGTAGAAATGAGTTTCACCATGTTGGCCAGCCTTGTCTCAAACTCCTAATTGCAGGTGATCTGCCTGCATTGGCATCTCAAAGTGCTGGGATTACAAGCATGAGCTACTGCACCTGGTCTATGGTGGTTTCTTAGATTGAGAGTTAGTATATTACATGGCTGTCCAGACCCAGATATTGAGTTCCTAGGTGAGATTGTTTTTTCTACCCAAGGCTAGGCCTGAGACAGATAACTTTTTTTTTTTTTTTAAATGTCTCCCTGGGCTGATGATTGTCTTTGGTTTTCAGCTCTTTTTTGTCTCTGGAATTTGAGAATTTTATTTTCTTACACATTCGTCTATACTTTTAAATAATGGTGGTTATATTTTATCCAGCATTTTTAGATTATATTATAGAAGAACTGATTTCTTATTATTCTCTCCAGGAGTTTTTGAAACCGTCTTTTCCTCTTGCACTTCAAGTCTGCAGTGATCCCTTTACTTTTGTAAATTATCAATGAATCACTCTTTTTAGGGCATCTTTCTGTCTGCCTAATCCAAGTACAGATCTCTTTTATTTAGAGAAAGTTTTCACTTGACTCTCTGCCTTTTCTTATTTCTGACCTAATTCTTTTCTGCCTTTCACAATTGAAGGCATTGAAAGTGTTCTAATAATCCATCGCTAGCTGTAATGTCTAGTGATCAGCTCATTTCTGAATGTTTTATGACTTTCCTCTCTAGCATTCACCCGAAACCATTCTCTCCACTGTCATCAATGACAACATACATGCTATATCCAAAAGGCTTTTCTCTTCCCCCCCCGATCTCATACACTACTTTGCTTCTCTGAGGCTTTTGTGTTGATCATCTCCTATTTTAAATCTTATTTCTCTGAGGCTTATAAGGGTCTTCTAATTTTCCTCCAGTTCTCCTCGGTATGTACATCTACTCTCCTCTTCATCCTTAAATTCTTTTCTTTTTCTCATGTTAGGAGTGTCATTTCTCTTCTTGATCTTATGTTCTTCTTTCTCTGTTGTCTTCACTTCTATGTCATTTTTTTTAAAAAAAATGATTCAGAAATCTTGATCTTGCATCTCCTGAGCTAAAATACTTGTTTTTCAATTGTCTATCATATACTTTATCCTGGATGTCCTGTTGGTACCTCAAAATTGTTGGATTTCATCTCCGACTCATGCTTTTCTTTTCCAAAATACCTAATTCTTCTGCTTTACTTAATTTTGTCTGTGTTCTCACTACTCTTCTCATGGGCTTAATTTGGTCTGCGTTACCACTACTTTTCTCATGGGCTTAAAAATATATTTCATTTTTGTTAAGTATTTCTTTCCAATTTATCTCTGATTTGTCCCTCATTTTCCAGTCGTATTGTTTCTCTCTTTGAAACATATGCACATTATTTGTCTGGTTTATCTACCCACAGGTTCACTTTTCTATAACCCATCCTACCCATCATCTTTAGATTAGCTTATGTAAATCACCAGTGACCCTGTCATTACCTGGCTCAAAAGCCTTAAACGATTACCTAATAATGACAGTATTAATGCCAAATCTCTTATCTGATGGAAACAAAAGCCTGGAGAATTCAGTGCCATTGTTCTAGGTCTGACTTCTTTGCTCGATGACTAATTTATTCTGTGAAGAGGGTGAAATCACCAGAAAATAGTTCTTTTTGCTCTAAAATGAAGTGCTAGCAAAGGAAAAATGGCCAAAAGAGATTTTTCCAAAAGAGCACAACCAAATGGCTAATAAAAGAGTAGACTGCTCAACCTCCATGAAATATCACCATATAACACCAGAACAGATCACATGAAAAAGATAGGCAATACCACATCTTGACAAGGATGTGCAGCAATAGGAATTTTTATATACTGAACAGACAACTCTAGTCCTAGGTATATAGCCACCAAAAATGTGTACATATATTCACCAAAGGGCAGGTACAAGAATGTTCACCACAGCACTATTCAAATTAGCCAAAAACGTGAAACTACTTCAATTACCATAGAAGGGGTAAATAAATGGTGGCGTATTCACAAGGGATAGCAGTGTTTAGCAGTGAGAATGGACCAACTACACAATATGGATGAATCTCACCAACATGATGAAAGAGGCCAGGCACACACAAGTACATGCCATATGATGTCATCTCTATAATGCACAAAAATGGGCACAGTGAATCCATGCCATGGTTACCCTTGGTGAGGGGCAGGAGTGGCAACTGAGAGGGAACACAGGAGGGTTCTGTGGTGCCAGAAAGCTCTTTCCCTGGTCTTGGGGCTGGACACACGGATGCAGGCAGTTTGTGAACATTTATTGGGATGTGCACCTGTGATATGTACACTTTTTGTATGGATATTAGGCTTTAATGAGCCATTTAAAAGTGGGGGCTCAGGGTGCTATAGACGAATGGTAGAGTGTAGAAAATTATTCACCCAGTCCTTTTTCCGGATGAGATAACTTTACATCTGTGAAAATGCTCTGACTGGCGTGGCGCAGTGGCTCATGCCTGTAATCCCAGTACTCTGGGAGGCCAAGGTGGGGGGATTGCTTGAGGCCAGGAGTTCGAGAGACCAGCCTGGACACTCATCTCTCTGAAAATACAAAAATCAGCCAGGTATGGTGGTCCCAGCTACTCTGGAGGTGGAGGCAGGAGAATTCCTTGAACCCAGGAGGCAGAAGTCGCAGAAATTGCACCTCTACACTCCAGTCTGGGTGACAGAGTGAGACTCCATCTCAAGAAAAAAAAAGAAAAGAAAAAAAGAAAAATTTCTGACAACTATCTCTCAACATTAAAGTCGATGAATGCTGAAACTGTACAATAACTGTGAGTAAAAAGAGGAAAGTCAACCAACACCAGAGCCGTGGTCCCACATCCTCCCCTCTCACTTGGTGGGGTTTTGAAGCACGCAAAGGCAGATGAAACAAGCTCAGGGGAAGATGCAGAATGGACACCAATGAAGGGGCCGGAGTGTGGGGCAACCAGGATGAAATCCACCTGAAATCTGAAAATACTCAGAGCGTGGCAGCAGAGAAGGGATCCAAAGTATTCAGCCCTCTTGTTTTTTAAGTTTTTAGTAATACCCATTCTGGCTGCGGTAAGATGGTATCTCATTGTGGTTTTAATTTGCATTTTCTTGATGTTGAACATTTTTCCATATGTTTATTGGCCATTTATATATCTTCTTTGGACTAGACATAAAGTTTAAAGGAATAGGCTTCCTTTAAATGGGAAAATCTGATTTTAAAAGATGGTCTTCTGGGAGAAAAGCTTTTGGGAGAGAAAAAGGCAAAAGAGAAGGAATAAAGAAGCACCCTTTGGAACTTGGGTGGCAAAGAGGAAAAGGAAAAAGAGGAATTTTAGTGTCCTACAAGACAAAAGAGACCTAAAAGACTGGCAGCCTTCTAACCTGCGCACCACCACCAAGACAGACAAACAGATGAAACCCCAGTAAAGTACCTGGACTTTTCTAGACAGAAAAGAAATTAAACAAGAAATCTTCTGAAATACTGCAGTATCATAAAAATGAATAAAAGGGAAGTTTTTAGAGAAATAGTTTGGAAAATTAGGGAATGCATTTGCATGCAAATCAACTGAGAAAAAGTCCCTTCCTGAAAAACAACCATGAAGCAGAAGAAAATTGTAGGTCTGTGTTCCAAAATGAATTAAATATACAGTCATGCTTTGCTTCACGATGGGGATAAGTTCTGAGAAATGCGTCATTGGGCGATTTTGTCATTGTGTTGTGTGACCATCATAGACTTTATTTACGCAAATCCAGATGGTACACCTACTACCCACTTGGGCTGTGTGGTCTAGCCTATTGCTCCTAGGCTACAAACCTGGACACCAAATTACTGTACTCAATACAGTAGGCGATTGGAACATAATGGGAAGCATTTCTGTATCTAAACATAACTAAATATAGAAAAGGTACAGTAAAAATACAGAATCAAAGTGGTTTACCTGTATAGGTCACTTCCTATGAATGGAGTTTGCAGGATAGAATGTTGCTCTGGGTGAGTCAGTGGGTGAATGGTGAGTGAAAGTGAAGGCCTAGGATATTATTGCAAACTACTGTGGACTTTATAAACACTGCACCTTTAGGCTACACTAACTTTGTAAAATGATGTTTCTTTCTTCAATCATAAAGCAACCTTACCTTACTATAACATTTTTACTTTATAAACTTAATTTTTTAAAGCTTTTTGAATCTTTTGTAGTAACATTTAACTTAAAACATAAACATATTGTATAGTTGTACAAAATGTTTTCTTTATACCCTTATTCTATAAGCTTTTTTTCTACTTTTAGTTTTAAAACTTTTTTCTTAAAAATGAAGACACACACACATGAGCCTAGGGCTACGTAGGGTCAGGATCACCAGTACTACTCTCTTCTACATCTTGTCCCACTAGAAGCTCTTCAGGGTCAGAAACATGCATGGAACTGTCTTCTTCTGTGATAACAATGCTTTCTTATGGAATACCTCCTGAAGGATCTGCCTGAGGCCGTTTTACAGTTAACCTAAAAAAGAAAAGTAGAAGTACACTTTAACATGATGAAATTATAGTAGAGTAAATACATAAACTGGTAACATGGTCATTTAGTGTCATGACCTTGTGTTATATATTGGACATAATTGTATGGTCAAGACTTTTACATGACTGGCAACACAGTAGGTTTGTTGGCACCCACATTGCCACAAACATGAATGCGTTGTGCTATGACATTGCAATGGCTACGACATCACAAGGCGATAGGAATTTTTCAGCTCCATTAGAATCTTATGGATCCACTGTCTTTCTATGTGACTGAGATGCCATTATGTGGTGCATGACTGTATTGAAACAAACATTTGAGGATATAAAATTAAAAAATTAAGAGCAGAAATGGAACAAAAAACAGGGAGGAAAAGAAAGAGTTCATTAAACTCAGTAAAGAAATGGTAGAAAAAGACAAAGTTGTCTCAGAAATGAAGAATAAATTACAAGATGTACAAGGAAGAAGGGACCAAGTAAACATTTAATAAGGGACAGGAAAACAGGAAGACACCAAAGAAATGAAAATGAGTAAAGAAAAAAGTAAAAAGTCTCAGAAAGTAGTAAAAATGGAAGACAGGCTAAGAAAGAATATTATATGTGTTATCTGAGTCCCCAGAGAAGAAAAATAAAACAATGGTACAGAATTAACATTTAAAACTGTAATCTAAGAAAACTTTCCAAAAGTAGAAAAAGATGTAAACCCACACATGGAAAGAAGTTATCTGGGAAAATGAACCCAGAACAATGAATTCTCAGACTTATCCTGGTACAACTATTAGTTCTCAAAAAATAAAGTTCTCAAGGCCTCTCTCCAGGTAAAAAGATGAAATCACTTACAAAGACAAATAAATTAGACTAGGATCAGAATTTCCAAACCAGTATACAAAGCAAAGTGACAATGGATATTTTCCTATTCCTGTAAATCTCCCAGAGTTTTGCTCTGGGAGGCAGTTAAGTCACTTATAAACATGCAGATCTTTCAGAGCTTGCTTTTTAGATTGTTAGGTGGGTCTGAGCAGTGCTAGTGAAGGGGTAATTATCATCTACCACTGAGGCAAGACCTTCTTCCATCCTCAATGTCATGCCCAGTGAGTTTTGAGTTTCTCCAATCTGGGTGATGGGAACAGGCACTCTTCTTGGTCCTGTGTGAGAGCTGCTTCCTCTAACCCCTTTGCATGATTTTTTCCCTTGTCTTGAGTAGTTTATCCATATGCACCCATTGATCAGTACTTGGCTAAATGCTCAAGGGGGACCCTTTGCAGATTTCTGGGGTTCTCTATCAAGGTTGAGATAATGGCAGGAGGAGGCTTGAGATAAAATTGGAAAAATGACAGATGTAATCAACTGGTTTGTATCTTGGATTTGTAGAGCTATTCATTCAGGTTGTATAGTACTGGATGTAAAACACCCCAAAGCTGGGATGAAATAAGGAATAAAGGACATGACTTTGAGCATTTAATGACCCTAGATGTCTAGACATACTTTTCCTTAAATTCTGAGTGTTCAGATTCCCGGAGCATTTAGATCGATTTGGATTGCCTCCCTCATTGGAATGAGGTCTCTTTATCATCAGAGCTCCTATTCTGTTTATTCAGACTGTTTTTCTATGAAGGAGACCTGGCAATGTGTATTTTTGTTATGGCTAATGTCATTGCTTCCCTAGACAGTGGCCAGAGAGATAAATTAGCTGAGTTCACTGCGCTGGAGCGGGTCACATTTCCACGCAATCCTGCTTTTCTGCCCATTCCTTCTTTCATTCACTAACAAAGAGCGATTGAGCCCCTACTATGTGCTAGGAATTATTAATATATCAGGAATATGAAGAAGAATAAGACACGAACTGTGCCCTCAAGATGCTGGCAGCATCCCAGGCAGGGCCTGCTCACCTTATAAGAAAATGAGCACCCCCAGGTAGCAGAGGCGAAATAATGGAAGTTTTTATGGAAAAGAATGTTAGTTTGGGACGCCATTGTGTATTAAACTTTAGGGATGAAACGTCCTACTGTTCTCCACACCAAACGTTTCCTCACTCTATTGCAGTGACCTTTCTAGGACTCCTCTTTGAAAATGTTACTCCTCTTAGCAGTATTTGAAGCAATGAATTAAGTTTTCAGAGGTGATCAAACCAGGCCTTGAAGTGAGACAAGCAGGAAGGAGGCTGAGGGCTCATCCTGAAGTAGAAGCACAATCTGGGAAAGGCAAACCCAGAACAGATGGTGTTTGGGGGGCCTGGGACTGTTATGGACCCCAAGAGGGTGCTGGAAGGAGCATTAGGTGTGTGTGTGGGGGAGAAGGAGGAATGGGGAAATTGTTAATAAATCTGCCCATTTCTCATCAGCTATGGCTAAATATTTTGGATTTTGATTTTGATTTATTTTACTCCGGGTTCACCCAGAAGGCAGGAATGGGGTGCTTCAGTCCTCTACAAAACTATCATAGCATCCTGCATAGGGAGTCAGGAAAGGACAGCTTAGGTTCTGCTTTTGGTTAATTAAGCACAGTGATGCATTGAGTAAGATCTGCTTTGAAACTTAAAAGATGTGTTCAAAACCCTGAGTTTTTGCTTACAAACTTCATAGCTTCAGACACATTATTTAACTTCTTTGAACCTTAATTTCTTCATCCATAAAATGAGAAGTAATAGTAAGGATTATCAGTAAGAATTAAATGAGAATGTCTCTATAAAGTGCCTTGTATGGTGCCTGTTTCATAATAGACACTAAACAAATATTTGCTACATTCCTCTGTATACATCCAAAGAAAATCGAGGCACAAAACTAGTCTTGAATCCTCCATATTGCCATCTAGCAGTTATCCCTTAAGAATTTGTATGAATGGACCAGGCATGGTGGCTCAGGCCTGTAATCTCAGCACTTTGGGAGGCCGAGGCGAGTGGATCACCTGAAGTCAGGAGTTTAAGACCAGCCTGGCCAACATGGCAAAATCCTGTCTCTATTAAAAAATAAAAAAATTAGCCCATTGTGGTGATAGGCACCTGTAATCCCAGGTACATGGGAGGCTGAAGCAGGGAGACTTGCTTGAACCTGGGAGGCGGAAGTTGTTATGAGTTGAGATCACGCCACTGTACTCCAGCCTAGGTGACACAGCAAGACTCCATCTCAGGGGTGGAGGGAATAAAAACATTTATATGGATGAAATCAACTGCTCACTCATCTAGGATTGCTGCTCAGTCAAGTGGCTATTAGCGCAAATGAGTTACCTGCTATTGTTTCCACTGGAAAGGACATCTTTATTTTGGTGCCTTGTGATTTTCCAGATTAAATCAATCTGGATTATTTTCATTAGGTGTTCCTTTATCACCATTATGGACATAAGATTCAGGGAGGTAGATTTGGAGAGAATGTAACATAGCAGAGATTTTGAAATTATTACCGTTTTCCGAAAGTATAATGTCTTGAAGTAAGTTCAGAGTCCTGGTTGTGTTCAAGGAGAGGTTGGATTACTACTTACCCAAAATGGAACGGAGAGTTCGTCCAAATTACTTTCCAAGTATGATGTTTGCTAGACAGATAATTTAAGATTTATTACATCCAATGGAGGGGGGATGTCTAACTATTTATTGGAAAGGTCTTTCTGTTAAGCAGAAAAAAAATACAAATAGCCAATTTTTAGGCAATTGTAGTATTTTTTGAATGTTGATGAAAAATCTAGATTTTTATCTTTGGAATGCATAAACATTGGTGAGAAAAAAAATTTCTTCAAGTATTATGAAAATTTTCTGATGTTTCAACAACTCAGCCATGGCTACACAGTTTGGATTTTTGCTTCTGATTAATTTCATTCCCAAGTTCACCCAGGAGGCAGGAATAAGATCCTTCAGTCCTCTGCAAAATTTCCATAGTGTCCGACATAAGGAATCAGGAAGGGATAGTAGGAAGATAGATTTGGAAACAGCAATTTTGATTTTGTTTCTTATATTTTATTGATTTCCTCTCACCTTTATTTTCTTCCTTCTGCTTGCTTTGGGTGTAATTTGTCCTTTTTCTAGTTCCTTAAGTTAGACAGTTAAATCATTGATTCCAATATTAATTGGAAGATAAGAACATTCTTATCTTCCAATATTAGCATTTAATGCCATGAGTTTTCCTTTAATCACTGCTTGACCTGCATCCCATTAATTTTGATTGTATTTTCATTTTAAATCTAATACCAAATATTTTTAAATCAACCTTGTGATTTTCTTATTTTAAAGTGTGTTAATTTTCAAATATTTGGGGCATTTCCAGATATCTTTCTGTTATTGATTTCTAGTTTAATTTCATTGTAGTTATAAAACATACTTTGCGTTTTTAAAATTCCTTTTAAATTTTTTCAGATTTTTTTTTTTAAATATAGCTGAGAACATGGTTGCTCTTGGTGAATATCTTATGTCCACTTGAAAAGAATGTTTATCCTGCCGTCATTAAGTGGAATGTTGTATAGTGTCAAGAAGGTCAAGCTGGTTTATACTATTACTTAGATTTTCTATATCCATACTAATTATCTGTGTATTTGTTTTATTAATTACTGATAGAGGAATGTTGAATTCTCTAACGTCAATGTCAGCTTGTGGATTTGCCTATTTCTTACTTGAGTCTATTAGTCTTTGCTTTGTGTATTTTGGAAACTTGTCTTAGGTACATTTAGGGTTGTTAGGATTGTTAAGTCTTCCTGGCATACCATATCCCCTCATCATTATGTAATATTCTTCATAGTTTTCAGCATTCAGTGTTTGGAAGCCACTTTTGTCTGATCTAGATTTCTTTTGATTAGTGTTATTTTGTTATATTTTTCCCCATTTTTTCACTTACCTTTGTCTTTATATATAAAAAGTGGGTTTCTTGTAAACTGCATGGATCTGGGTCTTACTACTTTTGCTACTTTTCTAATTTGACAATCTCTGCCTTCTAATGGGGACAGATAGACTTCATTTTTATTTAATAAAATTATTGATATCATTGGATTTCCAGTTACCATCTTGCTACTTATTTTCTAAATGCCACATTTTTGTTTCCTTATTCTCTTTCTGCCTTATTTTGCATTATTTGAGTATTTTTTTTGTGATTCCACTATTGGATTATTAGTTGTACCACTTTTAAATTGTTTAGTATTTGATGCAGGATTAGCAAAATGTATCATCATATATTACAGTCTATGGTTAATTAATTATATTGCTTTCTTAATAGTACAACAGTGTATTTTATTTTCTTTGTCTCTTGTGTTTTTTTGTCATATATTTTACTTCTATATATGCCATAAATTTCATAATTTTATTGCTATTATTTTGCTTAAGAAAGTTAATTTCCTTTAAAGAGAGACTAAAAATAAGAAAAAATACTTTTATATATATTCTGATATTACCAATTTTATTGCCCCTGTGGGTCCAAATTTCTATCTTTTATCATTCTATAGAGGTTTCTTTAACTCCCCTTTTAATGCAGGTTTACCGGCAATGAATTTTCTAAACTTTTGTCTTATAGAAAATATTTTTATTTTGCATTCATTTATAAAAGATATTTTTGCTGGACATAGAAATCTAGGTTGACATTTTTTTCTTTCAGCACTTTAAAGATCCCACTCTCTTGTCTTGTCTTGTATAGTTTCTGATGCAAAGTCTGTCATTCTTATCTTTGTATCTCTGTATGTAATGTTTCTTGTTTCTCTGGTTGCCTTCAAGATTTTCTCTTTCTCTTTGAGTTCAGCAGTTTGAGTATGATGGGTCTTTGTGTCTGTGTGTATTTATTTAGCTTGTGCTTCTCTGAGCTATTTAGAGCTGGTGTGTTGTCTCTTATTAATTATGGAAAATTATGTCATTACCTCTTCAAATATTTTTTTTGTATGTTCTTTCTCTCTTTTCCATCTGGAATTTTAATTACACATATGTTAAACTGTTTGATATTCTACCACAGTTCTTTCATGTTCTGTTTTCTTCTGTTTCAATTTGGAAAATATTTTTTCACTTATCTTCAGTTTTACTTGTTTTTTCTTAAGCTATGTCTTATTGCAAGAATTTTGTATGTCAGATATCATGTTTACTGGAAGTAATATAGCAACAACAAATCCTAAACTCATTGCATTATGCTTTTTGTTTCTAGCTTTTCATGTGACTTCTTTTTTAATTTTAATTAAAAAAAATTTTTTTTTTGAGGTGGAGTTTCCCTTTGTTGCCCAGGCTGGAATTCAGTGATGCGATCTTAGCTCACTGTGACCTCTGCCTCCTGGGTTCAAGTGATTCTCCTGCTTCTGCCTCCTGAGTTGTTAGGATTACAAGAGTGTACCTCCAAACATGGCTAATTTTTGAATTTTTAGTAGAGATGGGGTTTCACTATGTTGGCCAGGCTGGTCTCGAACTTCTGAACTCGAGTGATCTATCTGCCTGCTTCGGCCTCCCAAGTGCTGGGATTACAAGCACGAGCCACCACACCTGACCATCCATGTGACTTTTTGATAGTTTTTATTGATTTGCTAAAATTTCAATCTCTTCATGCAAGTTACCCACCTATTCAACTAGATTATTTAAAATATTCTCTAGTTGTTTAAAAATCTGTCTGATAATGCTAATGCCCATATCATCTCTGGATCTTATTAATCTATTGATTGCTCTGTGTCTTCATAATGGTTTGCTTTAACTTGTTATTCTGTCTGTCTTGTTATTTTTGATTGACTGACACATATTTTATGTAAAAGAATAGTGGTATCTGAGGTAAGTCATATTTATGCTTGAAATGGGCATGACTTTTCTTATTTCATCTACTAGTGAATGGGTTTAAGTTACTCTTGTCAGTACATACTGAGTTTAGGTTTGGTAATCACTGTAGTTACTTACCTTCAGTAGGCTGTGAGCTTCAAATTCCTTCAGTGGTGGACTGCTGCTAACTTGCACTTGATATGGGGCCTGAGATGTTGAGAGTTTTTAATCTGTATTTATGTTTCACCATTAGTTTTTAGTAGCCCCTGCATGTTTCCATCACACATAGGATCTTTATTCATATTCTCGCCATTATACCCTCAGGTGTATTGTGCTTTTTACTTCTAGATTTCCATGTGATTTCTTTTTTATTCCTTCTTAAGAGTACCTGGTAAAGCTTAAGAAAAATAACTCAGCAAACTGACACAAGAACAGAAAACCAAACACCACATGTTTTCACTCATAGACAGGTGATGAACAATGAGAACACTTGAGCACAGGGAAGGGAACAACACTTGCAGGGCTAGGTCGGGGGGGCGGTGGGAGGGGAGGGGAGGGGAGGGACAATGGGGTGGGGGGGATCGGGGAGGATGGGGAGGGATGACACCGGGAAAAATGCCTGACATTAGGCGATGGTGGGGAGGGGGAATGGAGACTGCAAACCACCATGGCATGTAAGTATCTATGCAACAATCCTGCAGGATGCAGGACGTGCACATGTACCCCACAGCCCAAATACAATAAAGAAAGAAAGGAAGAAAAATAACTGACGAATGAGTGCAGATTCTGCTTGTCTATAGGGGTCTAGGGAGTGCATATTGTGTCATTAGCCCAAACTTGACCTTGAAGAATTTGTTTAGTATCACATGACACTGGTTAGAAAAAAAAAATTTCAGCTGTTTTCTTTTTACCTACTTTTATGGCACCTGCCTTTTCCTTTCATGCTCTGCCAAAAGGGAAATAGTTTATGTGCTCCATCTCCAGGTGTAGACTGTTGTATGTTATTTGGTGTGAGGCTTGTGAGGCAGTGGGGAAGATCTTTGTTCTTCTGGTACAGCACTTGTCTTAGGTAGGTGCTGTGTCCTTGAGTCTTAGTGGTGGCACTTTCTCAGTGTTTTTATCCCTCCCCTGCATTTCAGCCATATTAGGTTGGTACTAAAGTATTTGTGATTTTTGCCATAACTTTTAATGGCAAAATCCACAATTACTTTTGCACCAATCTATTGTCTGTGGGACCTCTCGTGTAGTCAAATTTTTCTGCTTTGCCTTCAGTGGCTTTGTATGAGTGTAGGATTCTGGGCGAGAGAGAGTTTCTCCCTCTTTCAGAAGCTTTCTTACCCCTGTAGCCGAGAACTTTTGCTGTCTTTCCTTTTGAGAAGCAGGGATCTTTGCCAGTGCTCTGAAAGCAGGAGGTTTCCTTGCCTTCTCCACAGCAGCTTTAGACTTTTGCTTCATATAAAAGAAGTGGGTGAGACCTTGTGCGTGTTCCACCGCAGCTGCAGATGTTCATGACCAGAATGTTGGTACCATTGAAGAGACTCACTCAAGTTTCCTATCCTGCCAGAATCCCTTCTCAAGAGTACCTGGTAAAGGTTTAAGAGAAATAACTGTTGAGTGGGTGCAGATTCTGCTTGTCTATAGGGGTCTAGGGATTGCATATTGTGTCATTAGCCCACACCTGACCTTCAAGAATTTGTTAACATTTTAGCTGTTTTCTTTTTAATTACTTTTATGGCACCTGCCTTTTCCTTTTGTACTCTGCCAAAAGGGAAACAGTTTGTGTGCTCCATCTCTCCACAGAGGGGTCTATGACTCACTGGAACTGACTTCACTTGGTTGCTTTGTGTTCTCAACTCTCTGATGGACTCATGAATAGGTTCTTGGGCTTTTTCTCGTTGTTGGGGTGGGATCAGTATTCTCTTGGGCTTTCTATATCCTAAGTGGAATTGGAACTTGAGGAAAATTTAGTAAAGGATTATTTGTAGGAATGCAGGTCAGATCTATGAAAAATCACAGGATAATGCAGTTCCCTGGGGCAAGGAGTAGCAGGGCTTTGTTATCATCGTGTTATGGGTTAAATTGTGTCCCTCAAAAAAAGATGTTGAAGCTGTAACCTCCTGTTTCTCTGAATGTGATCTTATTTGGAATGGGAATCTTTGCAGATATAATTAAATGAAGATGGGTCATTAGCTGTTTAAGTTTTTAAAAAATGTGGGCCATAATCTTATATGCCTAACATTCTTATAATAAGAGGAGAAGAGACACAGAGAGAGACACAGGGAAATCATCACACGAAGCTGAAGGAGAGATTGGAGTGATGCATCTATAAGCCAAGAAATGGCAAGGATTGCCAGCAACTTTCAGAAGCAAGGCAGGTGCAAGGAAAGATCCTCACTTATACCCTTCAGAGAGCACATGGTTCTACTAAAACCTTGATTTCAAAATTCTGGCCTCAGAACTTTGGGGCAAATGTCTGTTGTTTTAAGCATGGAAATTTGTTATGGCAGCCTTAGGAAACCAACACACACCCTTAGGCATGAAGGGGTGAAGAGACGGGAGGGAAAGAGCTGTGTGGAGCTCTCATCTCAGGATGACACTAACATGGGCATGGAGGGGACTCCAGGGAATAAGCAACCCAACCTCTCTATCCTCTATCCTTTCCTCCTCTTGCTGGGGATCTTCTTTGATTAAACTCAACTGGAAACCAGAGGACAAGCATGTCAGTTGAGGTAGTCTATATAAGTCAGCCTCCTGGGGAAGACAGCAGAGTGGGGAAGATTGAATAGAAAATGTGAGAAACAGAAGGGAGGTAGTGAGTCCAACAGGGCTTTGTGTAACTGACAATGTAACTCGCTAAATTTGTTTCTGGGAGGGGGTATGGTATCACTAGAAAGACCACCAAGTTAGCAGATCTGTGGAGTGCTCTGGCTTTGCACGGACTCATTGTGACTTGAGCATTTCGTTTCACCTTTCTGATACTCTATTTCTTCACCCGTAAGAAGGGATTAAGCTAGATGACCTCTGCGGTCTCTTCTCGGCCTTTTGTTGTGCATACAGGAATGAGTAATCTTACATCAGACAAAATGAGGTCTAAAATAAATGTTCTGAGTTCATAACTTGGAATGTTTATGATTTTTCAACCAGGTTCAGTTGAAGAAAACTGATTATTGTTGATAATTATACCTTTACCAGCTGTTAAGATTTTAAAAAATGTGTTTTCATGTCTATCATCTCTTTTTAATGTAGTAGCTCTGTGAAAAACTTTGCTACTTAGGGGTTAAAATTCTTTTTGTCGGTGTGTTTATAGTCGGAATGGCTCATCTTAGAGAAAAGTTGAATTGCTTGTTAATGACACTTGTTTTTGTCCAGGGACTTACCACTTACTTTTTGTAGTTCTTTCCTTTCAGTTACTCTTTCAGCATAGAGTTGAAGAGAGAGAGAAAAAAAGTTTTTGGGTCTTATGTATTCTCTAGTCACTAAGGAGCCAAAAGGTTTTTTTTTAACTGATGCTCTTTCAGCCTTTGAAATCAAAGGTCCTCTCCCACATAGGCTACAGAATTCTTGGTGTGGGGATGCCTGTGAGGACTCTGACATTGCTGGTCCAGATGTTAGAGAGCTTTGAGCAAAGGCAAAGACTAATGACCCAGTAATGTTATATATCACAGACAAACCAGATGGAATCAGTTTCAGACTTCCTGGTGTCTCCAAAGGGAGGTATTTCTTTTGTGTGAGTCTCAACTCAATTGATACCTCATTCAGAATGGCTCCTCTTATCACACAAATCATGGTTATCATTTTCCTTCTGCTCTCCAAATATTCTCAGATAATAGTTCATCATAGATGACCTTCTGATGTCAACTTATTTCTCAAGGCAGGGATCAGGAAGACCTCCAGAATGGTGACATGGAGAAAGATACACTTATTTAGGGACAAACAAAACAACCAAATTGTAACAGGACTATTATATGGAGCTGTACACTGGATGACTGAGTAGTAAGAGATTCCCTTTGAGGAAGCAACAGGGCAAGAGATGTTAGCACCGGGTGGGAAAAAAGAATGAGAATAAGTATGGAAATAAAAGAGAGCAAGCTAAGGTGGTATTATTTTATATAAATTCACTTTCCTTAATCTAGCCTACCTCTTATGAATTTGGCAGTGGTTCATCTGATGTGGAGTAGTGGATTGCAAACTAGGTAAGTGGGAGTCAGTGACCACAGAAAGAGGCACTGAGGCAGAGGAAAGCCCAGGATTCAGAGAGACCAGTTGTCAGCAGTAGGTGAGAGTCTGACCATTGGAGAGGGTTTTGTGTTTACTTCTAAGAAGTGGTGTTTTAGAATGTCTGTGGCAGAAAAGAAGTCTCAAGTAATCTTAGATCCATAAACCAAGGAGTCTGTGGATAGAATTCAATTTTAAGGTATTTGTTTCTTTTGTGATCTTATGTGTTTTAAAAAAAATATTTTGCCAGATAGGTCTATGGCACAAAAAGGTTAAGAATTTCTGAATTGGTGCAATTGCAAAGATATGGAACCAACCTAAGTGCCCGTTGACCAACTAGTGGAAAAAGAAAATGTGGCATATATGCACCATGGAATACTACTCAGCCATAAAAATGAACAAAATAATGTATCTTGCAGCAACCTGGATGGAGCTGGAGGCCATTATTCTAAATGAGGTAACTCAGGAATAGGAAAACCAAATACCGTATGTTCTCTTATAAGAGGGAGCTAAGCTATGAGGATGCAAAGGCATAAGAATAATATAATGGACTTTGGGGACTTGGGGGAGGGAGGTTTGGAGTGGGTGAGGGACAGAAGACTACATATTGGGTATAGTATACACTACTTGCTGACAGGTGCACTACAATTTGAGAAATCACCACTAAAGAACTTACCCATGTAACCCCAAACCACCTGTACCCCAAAAACGATTGAAAAAAATAGAGGATACTTAATGGTTCAATGAGTGAGACAGATTTATGTATTTGTCAGCTTTGTTTTGTAGTAAATAAACTCAAAACTTAAAAAAATTCTGAATTAGGAAAACAACTCAATAAAGAGGCACCTAGATGACTGATGTTGGTGCATTTACTAGGTCCCACACCAGCAGATAAACTGAGGTCTGAATCAGCAAGCTTCACACACTGAACGGTCATCATATACGCAGAACAAACATCCAGCCAAGGTTGAGGTGATCAATGAAATGTCAGTGTATTGCACAGCCCTTACACATTCAGTACATGATATATGGATAACACAATTTTTTTTTGACATTTGAACTTAGTGTGGTTTCCTGGTAAGAGTAACTCTTCCACCTGGTAAAGCTTGTTATCTACTTCCTTTCTTATACCAAAATAAATTCCAGAAGGATCAAACGCTTAAATGTGAAAATATGGATCTATAAAAACACTAGAATAAGACTTTCATGAATTTAAAAAATGATCTTGGAATGGGTATGAGTCTTTTAAGTATGACATAAAACTAAGAACCATAAGGAAGAGGATAAACAGATTTGCCCATACAAAAATAAAAAAAAATTTCTTGAAGAAAGTACCATTGGAAAGTCAAAAGACAGCCTGGAAAAAAATAATGGCAACACTTATAACAAAAGGACCCATTTTCTATAGTACCACAATTGCTTCTAAAATCAGAAAAGAAAAAGATCAAAATTCAGAGAAAAATGTGTATAAGACATAAAGAGGGAGTTTGCATAAAAAAGAATGAATCTGTCTTATAAACAGACTCATGCTCACTGATAATGAAAGAAATACAAAATAAATGGACAGATTATCATATTACCCCCACTGGATTGGCAAAGATTTAAAAGTTGGTAACTCCCTCAGTTGACTTAGGTCCATTCAAACAAATACTCTTGCACACTGTTGTTCCTGGGAGAACAAATGGTACAAGTGTTTGAAGATCAATTTGACAATATCTATAAACATTTTAAATGTTCCTTTGACTCACCATTTCTACTTTTATGAATTTATTTTGTAGATAAATTCACATAAATTTGCAAAGTTCTGTGTACAGGCTGTTTCTTGCTGCTTTCTAATAATAACAAAAGCGAAAATATAGACACTAAGAAGTAGCCTACATGTTCGTCCAAGGTGGCAGTGCACCCTCATGATGGTACATGAATACAATGGTTTATAGCTATTAAAATGGGCCACACGTATTTTATTTATATGGAAAGCTCTCTAACATACATTAAATAAAAAAGTAAGTTGCAGAATAATGTGTAAGAAATGATCTCATTTGCGTTAAAAACATTCAGAATATTCACAAAACATGGAATGTTAGCGGTGATTACCCTGGTAGTGCAGAATGGGATGGGGAGTGGAGAGGGAGCGGGGAAGATTGGGGATTTGTAGACTCTTCCTACCTACTCCCACTCTATAGCATTCTGTATTATTTAAAAATTTTTTAAAGCAAATTTATAATTTTAGTAAAATATCCATAAATTTTTTTTTTAAGAAAAAGGATTACTTACTGCTATGGTTTGAATGTTTGTGCCCTCTGAACCTCATGTTGAGATTTAATTAGTGTGGGGCCTTCAGGATGTGATCAGATCATGAGGGCTCTGC